CTCCTTATTCGCAATGCTCACTAACCAATACGATTGCCTTGTCTTATTTTTAAGGAATATACTTTTCCAAAAAGAAGATCATTGTATTTAAAAAATATGTATTCATTATAATTTTAGGTAATGACATTCGGTCAATATAGTTATTCATCAGAATGAACAATTATTTGGATTTTAAAAATAAACAACTTTACTTGAAAAAAATATTTAAACTTAGAAATACATTCAGAATAAAAAGTAATAAATGAGAAAAAATCTTACTTGTTTACACTAAAAAAATAATAACTTTATATTGAATATCAGTTAAAAACCGTTTTTTATTTTTATCTTGAATCTTTCATATTTCAAAAAAATTCTATAGAAATGCTTAGATTCTTATTCTTTTTCTGCAATTCTTATTCTGTTTGAGGATAATTTTTTTTTTTTTTTTTTACTTTCTCATTATTTTTCTACTTTTGACAGTAAGGTCAGCACGAACTTATAAAGTAAAAATCTAGAGAAATACAAAAGAAAATTTCTACATCAGACAATAAATTATCATTATTTAAAGAAAAAAGTGACAAAATGTGTTTGCGAAAAAAGAAATTAAAATAGCTATAACTTTTTAAAAAAATCGTATTTCGAAAACAAACTTGCGTTAATTATTATTAATGGAAATTATCCTATCAGCACTGTTTTAACTCAGTAGTGGAATTCCAGTCGTTAAAAGAGCAGTCGATATGATATTTTTTACTACAAATTTAACACCTGATAATTCACGAACCAATAATCAAATCATTTTTTTTTTATTCAATCGCTTTCGTTGTATACAGAGCACAGGATGAAGAAAAAAACGAACCTCCCTGAATAACTTTTAATCTACGGACATTACCGTTCTAGGAGTCACTCTTAGTTCGAAGGGGTGACCTCAAATTTGCTAAATGACTAGTGCAGACAATATTTCAAATTACGAAATCAGACGCACAAATGCAATTTCTCTGTATAGGTACAGAGAAGTAACATGTCATTCCATCCATATTTCTAAACACCTTCGTAATTTCGAGTTTCAAAGTCTTATCGTTTTGTCTAAATGTAATATTAAGTAGAACACCCAAAACAACGACTGTGTGTGGTGCTTATAATTTTTTTTTAAATGGAGAGAAATGCCCAGACTGTAATTATTGCTTCTCCTATTATTGTAGGTATTTTGTACTATTTTAAATTTAGTTTAAACGAATTTTTAACAATAAAGAGTTATAAATAATGTATTTTAATAATAAATAATATAGGGAGCATCTACCGGCATCTGCATTTGGCGCCAATAACACATCTCAAACATAATGATTTTCACTTTGAGTTACTGGCAATGAATTACATACGAAAATAATGTTTTTTCAACACCCTACACCAAAATATACAGTGATAAACTGGTAAGTCATGCCAATTGATTGTCATACGAAATAACTGCACGAAATTGCGTAATTTCGTGCAGCTTAAATATTCATGAAAATATGGACATTTTTATAAAAAACATATATATAAAAATAATTTTACACATTTACAAACTATATAAACATTTTTATGAAAATAATATATTTGTTTTGAAATAAGTTTTCTTACTTTAACTGCTGAAATATTTAATAAATTTTATATAAAATAGATTTATTTAAATTAATAATAAAAATATCATTTTAAAAAAAACATTTTTTAAAAATTGCGCAAGACATGAGTATTTAAAGTAATAATATTTTCCTACTGCGTTTGCACAGAAGACAGTTAAATTTTTTTCATAATTTTGTTTTTAATAGTATTTTATAACTTATGAAGAAAGTCCGATTTCAATACCTTGAAAATTTAGAAAGTTTCTGGCAATGATGAATTCAATAATTATAAATTCTTTAAACTTTATTGATATGTTTGAGAAATCACATGATTTAAAAACTTCTAAAATCTTAAAATAATTCTCTTAGTATTCTTTTAGAAATATGAAAAAACGTTTTAGTATAGATATTTTTCCACCCCGCATAGTATTTTAATTACAGCAATTTTAACAATAATATATATATATATATATATGTGTNACAATTTACACTTTTACCAAATATATATATATATATATACAACTTTAAGCTTTATTCGTCAATAATGATTGTGATATTATCGTTATTGATATGCTTCGTTATAATTATTGTTTGAGATATTAGATAGATTTTACACAGAGTTTGTCTAACGTTAACCGTAACGCTAACCATATTCTCTACAATTTAGCAACACTATTATTTTTGAGGAAACTTCCACGTATACAATGTAAAGCTTAAATAGCTTTAACTTCAAAGTTTAAAAAAACCATAACCAAAATCTCTTTACAATCGCAAACGTTGCAAAATCTCTTTACAATCGGTAACGAATGACCTGTGTAAGCTAGAATGTGGTGTTGCTCTTGAATGTTAGCGAACTGGGCAACATTGCACCTATAACCCATAAATGAGAAAAATCCTTAAAAAATCCATTATTTGGTTATTGAAATATTAAAGAAACTAGGCGGCTTCGCCCCCTGCTCGCTGCCGCTCGCCAACCCCCGGAACTGCCTTCGCAGTTCATTTCGGATTGCTTCGCAATCCGATGCTCGCTTTGCTCGTGCATTGTATACGTTCTTAACGTCTAGCTTTTGTATACGTTTTTGAACACTGAAGTTCAGAAAACTTTAACTGTAGAAAATTCTAAACCTGTGCATTTCAATATTAATTTGAAATTGCAAACAGTTCACATATTTCTCTTAATCACACTATTCTAAATTTCACTTGTTGAGAAAAGTAACTTTTGTAAGTTTTGTTTTAAAGTCTTTCCCACCAGAGGGCTAAGACCATGTGTTGTAAAACAATATGAAATAGTACTGAACGCCGGATGTAAAGCATCGGCTTCGATGAAGATAATTTTGTGAGAATTTTTTTGATAATTCATTGAGAATTCACCCGATTAGACATATGATATGCTACGTGCTTTTGCGCACCGAAGCCTATCAATTAAAACTTATTAGCGTTTTATATAATATAGATTAGCCATATGATGCTCACTACGTGCTCTTGCGCGCCGAAGCCTATCAATTAAAAATGAAAACTGTTGCCAACGCGAGAAAAGAAATATCATCGGTTTTATTGATACATACGTATTAGCGTTTTATATAATATAGATTCGCATTTAATAATATGCAACAAACCATGTTTAAATTGGAGTTTTCTTTATCGAGTTGTAAGATAACGAATTTGTAAAAAGCCCATACATCAATACGTAGTTCTCGTTGACAAAATTATTCCTTTCGTAACGGAATTGAACTTCAAAAATGTTCCTTGTGCACCAGTTTTTGTTTTATTGTTTTTTTTTAAATTGTTGCGGGCATAAAATATTTTCAGATATTTGTCTCTTATTTTACTTTGCATTTAATTAACTCAAGAACGTAATTTAATATTTCAATAACTGAGCAAACATTATTGAAGCGTATTTTTCGCGTAAATGTTTGGTAACAAAATAAAAATTTAATGTCTAGGTACATTATGTTTTTATACTTAAATTAGCACTTAAATTTATTTATTTATTTAAATAGCTATAAACAACATATTTTGGTAAAAACTTAGTTAAAAAAATTAAAATTCATTCACAAGGAACTTCTTAATTACCAACAATTAAAAGCCATGTTTTTGGGAATTATTAAAAATCTAACTATTATTTTTTTCTGAAGCAATGTACACAGACTTCTATTAATATCATCTGCCATAGGTGGGAAATTTTTCAAAACTATAAAGGTTTCAATGTGTTTGTAATAAAAACGCATTCATTACAGTTCTTCTAGGAAAATTCATTTATCAAAATTCATTATAAAGTTTTTTTTTGTAAAAGTTAATATTTGCTGGCAAATAAAGAAAAGATGAATGGAGGAAAAAATTTGAAGTTAATATTCAAACTCATTATCATATTTTTTAATCTTAATTTCAGGGTATTATAGTTTAAAATGTTAACAGCAACTTTGACAGCATATTATATCTGCACTTTTCAGTCATCAAACGAAAACTTTTTCATCGCTCCGAATACTTTAAAAGTTATAACTTTTACCAAACAAATGAAAAATCTTCATAGTAACTACAGTCAAACCCCGCTATAGTGAACACGGTGTATAGTGAACTCCCGGATATAGTGAACAAAATGTTTGGTCCCGTGCCTTGCTATACACGCATAGTGTTATTTTTTGTGGATATAGTGAACCAAAAAAGTGAGGAAGTTGGATATAATGAACTTTTTTTTGTCTTCGACTGATTTTTTTTGTGTAATAATTTTGAAATTTCTACTTCAAAATAAATACATATATCGATTTTTAGAACCTTCTATAGGGGGGAATGTAGTGATAAGCATTTTTTCTTGTTTACTACTTTGATCTCACTTTCCCATCCCTAAAAGAACCAAGCAGATGTTTCCAACCCAGGCAGATTTCTGTCAGATGGAATGAGTAATTATTCCTTATTGGTCAAAAGGTTGGACACTAATATGTGTTGATCAGGCCCTCATTTCAACTCCTTTTTGCTCTCAGTTCAGAGAAGCCGCAATCTTCCAGTATATAGACAAATGTCGATGAATTTGCTAAGTGATTTTATGAGACTATGTTTATGTGCTCGAATGGCAAGTTAGACATGTTTAAAAAACGGAATAACAGAAATTCAGGAAAAATTGTCTGAAAGTCGGGAAGTGTTTCCATATCTGATGTTGAGGATTGCTCATCAGCTAGAGATTACTAATTTTTTCTTGTATGCAAGACGAAGAGTAATGAAAAATAACACATTTTTTGCTACTACTTAATATTTTTCAGTCATTTATTTAAATAATGTGTAATAAAAGGGAGGAGTCTGGGAACTATTAGTTAAATTGCCTGCGGAACAGATATAGTGAGCACCCGTTTAGTGAACCGAAATTTCGGTCCTTTGATGGTTCACTATAGTGGGGTTTGACTGTACAACATAATTTTCTTAATTGAGTGTGTTCATGTTTAAATGGCGCAAAGAAAGGTAAAAAAACTTTATTTACTTACATTTTTATTTTTTAAAAATACATAAAATACTTTCAATACGACAATTGAACTTTTCTTCCAGTTCACTTCACTCCTCTTCTCTTCAAACATTTTACAATAATCTTGAAGTATCAAAATATTTTTTCTTAGAAGTTTACCTGAAATAACGTAATTAGTACAATTGGAGCATTATAAAAAATACATTTAACCTTAAATAATCTACAGACCATCAATCAAATCTGCTGGTTTATCTGCTGCATTATCGCAGCTCGCGTTGACAGAGATCCCGAAACTGATGAAATAGATGGATTCAAAATGATCATGAGGACCACCGTTCCAGATTTTCCGTCATTTTCAGTCTGGAAGACAGACATCTTACCTGCATGGCCACTATAAAAACCACCTTTTCCAACTTTCCCCCCTATCTCGTAGGTAAGAAATATGAATTTGATATAAAAAAAAGTAAGCTCGTTCAGAAAAGTGTGTTTTGTTGGTCAAAATAAACATATTTCGTCATAGTTATATTTAATTGTAATACATTTTCTAAAAGATTTATTTGAGATTTTGCCAAAACACTTTACAAAATAAAAATCTGACCATCCTTTAAAAAGTAATAAGGGTGATCTGTTCTTTTTTGGTACTGTACGCAACCGATTATTATTTTTTTTTAATGAATCCTTTAATAACAATAATAAATTAAATTTTAACAAATTTAATACAGCTTTGTAATGTGAATTCAAAAATTACATTTTAATCAATCAGCTCAATAACAATTAATAATACATGTGTTTCAAAATATTTTTAGTAGTATAAAGTATAATTACCTATCTTTGGAATTAAGAACTTCAAAAATTCCAAAATTACATCACATATACATAAGTTTAAACTAAATGATATAATATAATTCATTAAATTAGTTAATGCTCTGTTAGATCATAGCTTTTAGTTCGCTTAAATAATTAAAAGTGTTTGCCAAGTTTGAAAGAATTTACATTAATCTTTTTATGCAATGTGTGAGCATTTCGGGGAGGAAATGTTACTCGGAAAATGCGTTTTAAACATAGTATTGCATATAATTACCCAGACTTAATTCAGAGACTGAAATAAATCATTTTTAACAACCGTAATGCATAAATTAAGACAGATATTAGAAGCTTATTCTACAGAGTTCAGATGTTGACCATAAATAAAATCAGATACCGCTTCCAAAATTAATCATTTTTACCCAGTCGTGAAATTTAAATTACTTGCATTTTTATTGCAGCAAAAATCATCGAGTAAACCATTCAAAAATAAAAAAGTTAATAACTCTTAAATTTTAAATACACAAAAATAAACATATTGATTTAAGTAATAAAATACTTATTATTGTGGAGTAAACTATAGTCATACTAATATATCAAGTTTAAAATATATATAAAAATAAACATCTCGATTTGCATACCTTAATTATGTTTTTCAAAATTCACATGTCTCTTTAAATATATGTATTGCAAATTGTTTTAGAGTTTTCGACATTTTCATACAGCGAAATTTGACGACGAATATATTTTGATGTTTTGGAATAATCTGCAAAGAAAAATTACAAATTAGTGTCGTTTAATATACAAAATATTAAAGAATTGCGTTAATTGGTTCGGAAATCATCTATATTTAAAATATTTCTTAATAATTCTCTTCTATTTAAAATTTTTTTCAGAAAGGAAGCCAAACTTCTCCACGTATTAAGTGTCTTTAATTAATATTTCAGGGGAGAAAAAGCAAAAATTTTTATCAAAATTTGATAAAACACCACTGACAAAGGCGTGATGTGAAGCTATACGTCAATTGCCTCGCACGCCTTCTTAATTTCCTCCAGCAATCAAACAGGTTTCGATGTGTTTAAATTCAACTTCTTCATAGTTGTTTTTCTGAATTTCACACCATTTTTGCTTTTTCTCACCTAAATATTAATTTTTGATCCCTAATATAACTTCGATTTTGTATTTAACTTATGTGTAAGTAAATTTTGTAGCTCTAAAGTAAGTAAAGCTAAGTAAATTTTTGAGCTCTACTTTACCTTCTGAAATTAGTTTATATTCTAAAATTAGTTTATCTTCTAAAATTAGTTTTTTTAGGAATAAAACGAGAGATTGCAACTATTTTGCAATATGGGATCTTTAATTTAATAACAACTTGCAGCTATTTAAGTTCATATGATAAGACGAGAAATTACTGTAATCTTTTGTGAAATCCAGAATATGGAGTCTGCTATTCGCCTAAACATCTGGGTAGGTTGGACCATCAAAATAATTCAGATAAATTTTACTTTAAGTATTATTCTAGATACTTAAGAGATATACAGTTAATAATCTCTCGTTCAGATATACTCCTAATAATAATAATTGAACTTTGTTTTTATATTTTTAGGAGTACAAAAATCTTTCAAAAATATTTTTTTCAAAAAAACTCAAGTTATACATGTACAAAGTGAAGAAAAATAAAATTAAAAGTTAGCAAATATCTAAAAGAAAAAAATTTTTTAAAAAAACATTTCGAATTCGCCTTGTCTACAAATATATATTTACCAATTTCGTTTTCGAAAGTTTCACTAAACTAATTTTATTCAGAATAAATAATAAAAATTGTCAGAAATATTATTTTTTACCTCTTAAACTGGAACATAATTTAAGTCTAGTTCCGAATGAAAAATACTTTTAAACATAATATTTTGTAATAACAATCAATAAAATTGCACGAAACATTTTCACTGTATTTTTACTAAAAAAAATATCAAACATTACATTTTTTTATGAGTAATGACTAAAAAAAAAGTTTCATTGGCATAAGATTTTGAGACTATGTCTGTATTTTTTTTAATATCTTAATTTTAATTTATGTACAAGGGTTATAAAGTCTATTAATAATAATGCATAGTAAGAATATAATTCTTTTCTTTTAAATTTTATTCAGAAAATATCCGACTTTTCATTGCACATGTACATTTAAACGCTCAAAACAAGTAATTTTTCAGCGTTAATTTTTGAAGGTAAGGAAGTTTTCCATTGACAAGTGCATCTTTCCCCTTCGAATTCTCGGGATTATTCTTATCGCCTGTTTACTCTATAAAGTAAAAAGATATTTAAAAAATTGAATTGTTTGTGTACTTAGATTAATATGCTAAAAGCGTACATATTTATTGTTTACTTTTACTTTTTATTATAGTCCCTTTCTTTTGCATTTTTATTTATTTATTTGTCATTTTTTTAAAATAAATCAAAAACTTTGACAAATACCTTTTTCATATAGGAAGGAAATTGAGAAAAAGCACAACGTTGAAAGAAAAAGTGAAGGAAAATTTTACATGAAAGAAAACTTTACAAATTATTAAAACATTACTTTATAAAAATAACACTCTCGTGTAAGATTGGTCATTCATTAATTAAAAATTATCACTTTAGCGCAGTTTTATTTCATTGTTCATGATGTCAATAGTTTTCTTACCTTTAGGATTAGGTTGTTTATTCATGAAATAAATCTCATTCGGAGCAAAATATCTGAAATTAAAAAATTAAAGCAATGTAACGGAATTTTTTTATGCAAACATTGCTACTACTAAAAGAAAATGGAGTACCTTGCAACAGTTATGTCTTTTTTTCTTTTTTTCCTTCTTCTAAATTTTAAAACAATTGCAGAAAATATACCGATAGAAGCACATACTAGTGGAACTATCAATATGTAGAAATTTGATAGCTCTGGATCATTAAGTCCTAAATAAATAAAAACATATATTAGCATTAACGACTAATATTTTTAGATATTAATTCGTAAAAAAAGTATTAAGCTTCTTCATAAGCTAGATTTTTCTTCATTTTTAAGTCTATGCACTGTAAGAAATGTAGTTAGAAACCATGGAATGTGTTGTATCAAAATATAGTTCAGATTTATTACAAACTTAATATGTAACTAAGTTGTTGTTCTTTTTAAGGTTCAAAATACGATACTAATTTTCCCTTTAACGTCATTTTAAGGTAGTTTATTAAATTTAATAGTACAATGTAAGGAATATTATTACAAGACAAACTATAATATCACTCAACGAGCAGGTTGCAACCTTATTAATATAGTAAGTTAATTATTATTGCACATATTATTGCACAACTTAAGCCATTTTAAACTTGATTACATGATGCTTTGGTTCAACCTGAAAGATGGTAATTTTAATTTACCTTTTAACAAGTTTGCAGAAAATGTCGATGATATTATTGTTCAAGACAATATACAATATAAGTTTTCAAAGTAGTACCAATTTTTCTGAGGGTGTAGTTATTCTAAAAGTGTGGTTTTTATGTACAAATGAGTTTAAAGTTTTTACTATTAACAATCGTCATCTGAAAGGACTCCATCATGATATTCAATTAAAAAAACAGCACAGATTAATAGGTGTTGAGTTTACAATGTACAATCGATAATGAATTAATTTAAAGTATCAAACCTAAAATGAGCAAAATTAGCCTTATTATTTTTCAAAAAACAATTTTGTAAAAACGATTAAAAATGATTTTGTGAAGATAATCAGGAAAAGTTGTCTAAGCTTATGAATCACAATTATAGTGTTAGTTGTGTTTAATTCTTGAGTAAGTATCACCATGTGTAACTTATCTCATACTAGAAGTAAATATTTCTACCCTATCAATGTTACCACAAACATCCGTGGTGCTTTTTAATTACTTAAATATGTACCCTCATATGTACAGGGCTACATATGAGGGGACTTATTTAAGCAATTATATGAGCAAAAGTAACAAATATTTCTACCTTATCAATGTTATAACAAACATTCGGGTTTCTTTTTAATTATTTAAATAAGTTCTCTCATATACATCCCTATATCTATGAAACGTAAATATTTCTATCTTATCAATATTAGAACAATTACGTGTGGTGTTTTTTTTAATTACTTGAATGAATAACCTCATACGTATCTCGAATCATAAGAGCAGAAAATATGTCTACTCCATCAACAACAACAGACTGTTTTGGGAAATTCAATGTAATCAATTTCATTTTTCATAAAATTTCCTTTCAGAGATTTAAAATGAAATTAAGAGTAAATTAATTGCTAGTTGAAGGCAGATATCTTTAACTATTCTAAATAATTATGACCTTGCTGAAAGATTTACGAGATAGTGTTTAACTTTCACATAATATTCCTTATTAAAGAATCAAGTTATAAGAAGGTTGCCTTAAATTTCATACCACTGGAAGATACACTGTGGCAGCAGTTGTTCGCTCTGTAGCGTCTGACATGTACGCTTCCATCATACTCCAGAATGCTACGAGATTCATCAAAGAAAACTTTAACTTCGATAATCTGTACATTACTTTAGTTCCGTTATATCCTTAGTCAAGTTGTCGAAAGTTACATTAAAAACTTTTATAACGAATGAATACAAAACAAACATTTTACGCAAGTACGCAGCATTTGTGTCATCTTAATGGATTTTCACGTCAAAAAACTTTTTAATTTATTCGCAAGAGTGCTCTGTGTACAATGCTTCTTTAGAAATCAAAGTTGGTTTGATTTAGAAAATGAACGATTTGAGCAACTCTCTTTAGTTTATAAATTTCTGGAAATTTGAGGAAATAACTACTCAGCATGTTACTTCATCTTTTTGTGATAATAAAAATTTATGTCTTTTGCCTGAATTTTCTTTCAACAATTTGAGAATATGCCTGATTACTATAATGCTCTGAAAACATCATTTATTTTAGACGAATTCAACATCCATATTATTTCTCATTATTGCACTCTTTTGTTATCACGAGTATAGCTTGTTCTATTCTATCTTATTTTATCCATTAAAAATATTTCAGTGGCTAATAAGAATAAAAGAGTTACATATTTAAATTTTTGATAAATGTCCACAATTTAGAGAGTATGAATTTAAAATCCATCTTCACTCTTATAACATCTTACCAAATCTATTTGAAATATTATAAGTTGCATATTTTAACTTCAGCATAAATATCTTGCATTGAGGCAATTCCTTACAAGTCTGAAAAAGATGTAAAAAACATACATGTTATATTAGACAAAACTAGATCGTTTCAAACAGTTATAAATTTTCAATCAGTTGTAATTTGAGTAAACTAATTTTGCTTAGAAACATTAACAGTTTAGCAATATCGTTGGTATGGTGACACCTGCAGTTTTTTGGTTTCAATTATTGTATCTTCTGTTCGTAACCATACATAAAGCAACATAATATTAAAAACATTTACGTTAATACTCTTAATATCAAAACGCTTATATTTACAAAATATGCATTATATACAGAATGTGCTATTAAAACTTTATTTTTTCTCTAAACTTTGATTCTTAATCAAAATATACACCGGAACACATTTATACATTTTCTACATTACTATTACCAAAAAGCACATACACAATAGACAATAATATGGTTAATAAGTTCATGGAGGTTAGGATTCCACCTGCTCAGCTGTGTAAAGAATAGCATTAACTGTTCAGGATGCAATGGCGGTAATACAGATCGTCTTTACAAGTCGTTTGCAAGGCGCCTTTACTGCACAGGCTAACAGGTACCCATTTATCTTAAAATGGGCGCGCTTCAAGACACCATTGGGGATAGAACACCAGTTTTAAACAATGACAACTCAGTGATTTAACCACTTTTCTATCATGACTCTTACTACCATTATCCATTGTTTTATTAGTTTATTACTAGTTTATATTAGATAATGACTTGGGATAATATACGCTAGTGTAAACTTAATTTTTTATTTCACTTAAAACTAACCTTACATTATTAAATTTACACATTGTAAAAAATTCCGTATCAGATTGCGGTAAAAAGTATCTTAAAATTACGGCACTTATAGTACCGGAAGTTTCTACCGTAAAATCCATTTTTACAGAAACATGTTGCGGAACAAAAAATCAGATTATCCGAAATATTTATAGTAATAATAATCGTAAAATCACTGAATCGCTTCAACTAAATAAATATTACTGTAAAATTTACGACACAATATTTTCCAGTAAAAAAAGTATCGTACAGTAAAATAATTTTACTTGTGATGCATCCAAAGGGCTTGTGTTTTCACTGTAATATAATCCGGAATTTTTTTACAGTATGGAGAAACGTTTAAAAGAATAAAGTAAGCGAAACTATAAACACTATAACAAAATAATTACGTGGTTTCAGAAAGCCATTAATCTACTAATTCATTGATGTCACCTAACATTGTTTTCTGCTTAGACTTACTTGACACAATAGATCAAGATAAATAGCTATTAAAAACGTGCAAAACCAGCCAATGAAACGTGCTCTTGATTAAGTACAGTTTTAAACTAACGAACATCACCGATGTTGTCTTTTAACTCCTACCTTGTCTTTAACGTCAAAATGACAGGGAGAAGTTTCACCCTCTATATCTGGTGACCGTGATATTTCCGACATGTAGTGATCAAAAGAAATGCGAGGAAAAGATTAAATCAATCCATTTCCATGCCTGGGATCATGTTTATCTCACAGTCTTTACATCACAATGAAATATAAGATAGTCTGTGATGCATTTAGAGGTAGTTGGAACAAGATATCATGCATATTTGCGATATGATTCTTGCAAGGAGTTAGTTATTTGTTTTAAGAATGGATATGGTTTCCGTTCTGTGATAAAATGTATTTTTTAAAACCATAAAAGACCGAATTAACCCGAAGATTAACATGAATACATATACTGAATACACATATACATTTAGTTTTAAATATTTTTTCTCAATATACAAATAGGCACTTTAGGGACCATTTCCTTCAAAATTATACGGCTAATAATTCAATAATTGAAAAAGGGCATTCCACAGTTTAATTTTTAATAGCTGCTTAGGCTAATTCTATGAAAAAATTTTAAAAATATGGCATAATTAGTTCTAAAGCTATACGACAGGCACATGCAGTCAAATCTTACTTTTATTATAGATTATATATATTTCAAAGACTCTGATCATTTTTGATTGAATTTTTTAAAATCAAATTTTACTATTGTATACATTAGTAAGTATCGAATTGAACTTTCACTTGTATTGGTAGACTCGAATAGTGTATGCTCAACTATAAGGTCACTTATTTTGGATAAATTTACTTACTGTGCAATTAGAATAAAGTATAGAACAGAATTTTATAAAAATTATTAGGAATTTTGTAACATGAGGTTACTCTATGTCGAACAAATTTCCTTACTGAGTAAGTAAAATAAAGTATTGAATTGAACTTTAACCTTTACTGGCAGACTCGGAAAGTGTATACTCATTGCGAGGTCAATTTATGTTGGACAAATTTCCTTACTGCGTTAGTTAAATAAAGTATCGAATTGAACTCGTATCGTTGCTAGTAGATTTAAAAACTGCATACTCAGTGTGAGGTCACTTTGTGATGGACAAATTTCCTTATTGCGTTAGTTAAATAAAGTATCGAATTGAACTTTTATCGTTGTTAGTAGATTCGAAAACTGTATACTCAGTGAGAGGTCACTTTGTGTTGGACAAATTTCCTTATTGCGTTAGTTAAATAAAGTATCGAATTGAACTTTTATCGTTACTTGTAGATTCGAAAATTGTATACTCAGTGTGAGGTCACTTTATGTTGGACAAATTTCCTTACTGCGTTAGTTAAATAAAGTATCGAATTGAACTTTTATCGTTACTAATAGATTAGAAAATTGTATACTCAGTGTGAGGTCACTTCATGTTGGCAAATTTCTTTATTGCGTTAGTTAAATAAAGTATCGAATTGAGCTTTTATCGTTACTTGTAGATTCGAAAATTGTATACTCAGTATGAGGTCACTTTGTGTTGGACAAATTTCCTTACTGCGTAAGTTAAATAAAGTATCAAATTGAACTTTTATCGTTACTAGTAGATTCGAAAACTGTATACTCAGTGTGAGGTCACTTTGTGTTGGACAAATTTCCTTACTGCGTTAGTTAAATAAAGTATCGAATTGAACTTTTATCGTTACTAGTAGATTCGAAAACCGCATACTCAGTGTGAGATCACTTTGTGTTGGACAAATTTCCTTATTGCGTTAGTTAAATAAAGTATCGAATTGAACTTAATCGTTACTAGTAGATTCGAAAACCGTATACTCAGTGTGAGGTCACTTTGTGTTGGACAAATTTCCTAACTGCGTTAGTTAAATAAAGTATCGAATTGAACTTAATCGTTACTAGTAGATTCGAAAACTGTATACTCAGTGTGAGGTCACTTTGTGTTGGACAAATTTCCTTACTGCGTTAGTTAAATAAAGTATCGAATTGAACTTAATCGTTACTAGTAGATTCGAAAACCGTATACTCAGTGTGAGATCACTTTGTGTTGGACAAATTTCCTTACTGCGTTAGTTAAATAAAGTATTGAATTGAATTTGTTCGCTACTAGTAGATTCGAAAACTGTATACTCAGTGAGAGGTCACTTTTTGTTGGACAAATTTCCTTACTGCGTTAGTTAAATAAAGTATCGAATTGAACTTAATCGTTACTAGTAGATTCGAAAACCGTATACTCAGTGTGAGATCACTTTGTGTTGGACAAATTTCCTTGCTGCGTTAGTTAAATAAAGTATCGAATTGAATTTTATCGCTACTAGTAGATTCGAAAACTGTATACTCAGTGAGAGGTCACTTTGTGATGGACAAACTTCCTTATTGCGTAAGTAAAACAGGAATTACCCAAACTACTCCTGAAAGAGATAACAGTTATTTAGTTAAGCGACAAAATAGAAAATATTTAAGTGAAGTTTGACAGAAAATATTTAAAAGAAAAATTTGTTGAAAAACAAATTGTCAAGTTTGTTTGAGTTTAAACAATACTTTCGATAAAACGTAATCAAAATTGTTCTTACTCCATTACAGAAATAAACATCAGGTTTCACAATCATTGTACAATTTTCTGAAAAATAATTGCATTCTCTTTCTTTGTAACATTCGCAATTTTCGGCACATTCCCCAAAGGTGCTTTCTTTCTTGCAGAGAAATGTGCAATTTAAAGAGCTTAAACCTAAATAAGAAATGTTATAGAAAAATTTAATTAAAAGTGATCATGAATATGTGTTTTAAGAACCAATATTCTAGAATAATTTACAAATTAATCAAAAACATATAAATTCAAATAATTTCATTAGAAATTTAATTTAATAAAATAAAGATAAAAGTGAAAAATAATTTTTAAGCGTAAAATTTTTGTGTGCATTAATGCATTTTAATAATATATTTTCTCATAAGCAACATTACTTTGGAACATTTTAATATTCTTCCTATGAAACATATATTGAAACACATTCATAACATAAGTTCTTTAATTGATGAAGCTCAAGAAAAAAAGTAAAAGATAATTTTTAAACTTGAACTTTTTATGCTGGTTGTTTATGTGTAATAATAATATGTTGTCTAATAAATAGCTTTACTTCGGAATATTTTAATATTCTTTTCATAAAAAATATTTTGAAACACATACATAAAAAAGTTATTTAATTATTAAAATTCAAGAAAAAAATAACTTTTAAACTTGAAATTTTCATGCTTGTTGTTTATGTGTAATAATAATATGTTGCCTTATAAATAACATTACTTTGGAATATTTTAATTTTCTTTCTATAAAATATATAATGAAAGACATTCATTAAAATGGTTCCTTAATTAATCATGTACCAGAAAAAAGTCCCAAAATTTTTTATTTTTATTTTTATATTTTTTTTATGCTTTTTTTTAATTATTTTAGTGTGTTATAATAATGTTCTTTCTCTTAATAATATAAGTAGGAATATTTTAAGATTCTTTCTGCAAAAAATAATATGAAACACATTCATAAAATAAATTCCTGAATTAATCAAGCTCAAGAAGAAAGTAAAAAATAAATAAATATTTAGCGTGAAATTTTTATGCTTATTACTAATGTGTTATTTTTTTTAAATAAAATTACTTCGGAATATTTAATAATTTTTCTATGAAACATATGATGAAAGACATTCATAAAATAAGCTTCTAAATTAATCAAGTTCCAGAAAAAAGTTTAAAAAAATAAATAAATAAATTTTATATATTATAATAATATGTTTTTCATAAATAAACGAAACGAAGGAAATAAAAATAAAAACATGACCACCGAATCCGACGTCTTCAGGGGGTACCGGCCCCGGTAGCCATAAAACAAAACCATTTCTAATTGAGGGAGAAGGGAGAGCTTTTCCCTCAATTAGAAATGGTTTTGTTTTACGGCTACCGGGGCCGGTACCCCCTGAAGACGTCGGTTTGGTGGTCATACTTTTATTTTTATTTCCCTCGTTTCCTTTATTGCTACTTTTTTTTTGAAATTTCTGCTGCTTTTTAGCGCGTTTTTTTCAAAGACGTTTTATCTATTTAGAATTAAAAATATTTGTGTTTTCTTTTAGTAATGTTTTTTATAAATAATACTTATGAAAAATTATGCTTAATAGTTAATAATACTTATGAAAAACTTAATTATTTGGGAATATTTTAAAATTTGTTCTATGAAACATATTACGAAACTAATTCATAAAATAAATTCCTTTATTAATCAAGCTTAAGAAGAAAAATATCTTCAAAAACGAAATGGTTCTATTTTTTCAAAAAAAATTTAATTTTGTTTATACAAATAATAAATAGTAAGAATAATGTTAACAAAGAAATAAAATTGATTTTCATTAATTCTAATTTGATTAAAGCTGCTAGCTTCTGTTGTCTTTTTCAAAGTAAATTCAGTAAGTGCAAAGTACATGCATAGATACAATTTTGCAAATCAAGAATGTGGAAAAAAGGGTTTAAAGTTTCTTTTCCTTCATTAGTCAAAAGAGATTTGACTCATTAGTCAAAAGAGATTTGAATTTTGATGAATTTATAGATTTCTCTAATGAAAAAAGAAAAAGAGCATAACATTTTTTGTTTTATGTCATTAGCAAATAAAAACCAAAAATTCAATGAAAATATTTTTTTGTAATAACATACCCTACGCTTTGTTTTGATTAAAGAGAATCAATACTTTTTTGACGCTATTTTTTTTAAATGCATAAATTCTTTCGAACTAAACTATCATTTAATATATACACTAAATCTATTCACAAATCTGTGAAACATTTTTATAAAATAAAAAACTTTTAAATTAATAAAAATGTGGTAATAATTAATGAAAATGTGGTAATAATAAAATGTGGCTTCACAAATAAATATTTATGATTAGTAAAATAACAAAAGTTATTTTTGTGTTCAGGAATTTTCGTTATTACCATTTGAATTTTTCAAAGTTTCTAATTTCCAAATTATATTTCTTTTTATTCATTTTTTAGTAAGATAACACATTTATATTGTGTAAATTATATTAAATACATTTATATTGCATAAGTACTTATAGGTATTAGTCAAATATGTATTGGTTTTAGCATAAAAACAAAATTACAAAAAATACAGGCATTGCACCCATAACATTTACTGAATCAAAACTAACTTTCAAACAAAAACAAATTAAAGACTAAATTTTACTTTAAGGCAAATTTAAAAAAGGTACATAAAATACGAATATTTCAGATTTGCTGACATTTTTTTTCAAAAAATGTATTAATTTAAAATTTAAAATATAATTATGATAAAACATCTGCATCAAACATCTGTATCACTTGAATTTCTATGGGAAGAAAAAAATTAAACTATGTCTTATCTTGTGTTTCCATGCTGAAACAAGCACAATAGTTGTTTTATGAGCTTAAAGAGAACTATTCATTTTATATTTTTATAATATGTTTTTCTAAATAATGAAATATTTCTCTAAATTATTTCTCGCTGTATTTAAAACTGCTTGAAAAATTTCCAATTTCAAAAAAGACGAACATTTAAAATGTATATTTCGTAATTATTAAAAACGCTTCTAGTGAAATGAAAAAAAATTTCGACATTTAGAAAATGGATTTTGTTTTAAAACATGTTCTTAAAATTTATGTTGTCAACCATTTTTAAACACTAAAAATATCAACAATCATATTGTATTTAAATATAGCAATAATAATGGCTTAAAAATTCCATTTTTATTTAAGTCATAAAAATGTAACCAAATAAGAACTTTTAAAAATGCTTTTATGTCATTTTCTGTGGGATATTTTTGAAAGACTAATTTTGTTACTATACCATTTTTAATTCTTTCACATTATTTTAAATAACTGTATTTTTATCATAGAAATATTTCATATGTTTTGATTGATATAAAATAATGGCTAAATTATTTTATTCAAAGAAAAATATCTAAATTAGTTTTAGACTTTTAAGATACGAAACAAGTTAATTTTTTAAGTAAATAAATACAGTATATAGCAAAAGACTAAAAGAAAAATTTTGTTATGCTACTACTTCACGTTTATCGCAAATATTTGAAATACATAAATTTTAATGAGATTGTATTAAAATGTTTTTTTTTCATCAAAAGAAAAATAATGAAGAAGAATTTTAAAATCCATATACTACGATATCAAGAGAGAAAAATTTTGTTTGTACGATATAAATCAACAGAATTTATTAACCTTTATCTTCCCAATACACTCGTAAGTTATTAATAATTCAAAATATCCTGTTTCCCAAACATAGTTTTAAAGTATTCATAAACTCCTGTTCAGTTTCATTTTCAAAGAATTTTATAATATTTCACGAATAGATTTGAAAAAATAGTTCCTGTTTGTAGCTGAATAAAAATTTAAAACATTTTTTGTGCTTGAAACAAAAAAATATGTTCATAAATTGCTTCCGAATAATCAACCTGGAACTACAAAGTCATATGGTTTTTCACTATACAATAAAAATATCACTAATTCATTCCAAACCTAATTTGAATTAATAAGTAATTCATTCAATAATTATATTTAAATCAAATATCCTTAGTGCAACCAATAAATAAGGACTTCACTTTAAAATAAAAATTATAATAATTTTTTTAATAAAAAAAAAGTAAAGCATGATGTAATTTTACTGATATGTGACGTTTTGCTTATGAGACTACATTTTGCTATCAATGCGTCATAAATCAGTGTATATAAACTATAAACCATTTAAAAGCATTTAGAAAAAAATTTATTTTATCTACAGTGATTAACAACCAATTGGCATATTCCATGCATATCTTGCTTTTCAAAAGCGTAAATTCTTCACCAGGCTCATTCCAAATGCAAAAATATAGTGCAAGTATGCAAAGAAGTAACATTTCATTGAGTGTTTCTTCACATAAGTAGGGGAGAGTGGGGTCAATTGTAACAGGGTACGATTGTAACAGAGCAAAAATTTCGAGTGTCGGGTTTTAGATTTGGTTCTTAGGTGGCGCACAAGGTGTATTTAATAAATCTACATGTACACCCCTGCTGGCAACCATTTCTAGGTACTTTTGAAAGAGTTACATCACAAAAGATATTTTCACGCTACGCAAGTAATTTTTTTGGTATGAGAATATTATATTGCAACAAAGTAATTTTGTTTAAATAAATAAAAATTATTAACCGAATATGTAAGTGGACACCTTAATTAACATTTCAGAAAAAAAAGATTAGTTTAGTTAATTAACTAGCATTGTTTTTAACAAATGAAGCTGAAATGGCGTCTTGGGGACAATTGTAACAATAAGTAAAGGGACGATTGTAACAGCTGAAAATAAATAATCTTATGTTTACAAACCATTACTTAACTCTTTAAGAACCACCAATAGTTTCCTATATCATTTATGTAATGTTGCATGTGCATTATTTTATTTGTCACCTTTCATAGCATAAATTAAAATTTTTAACCCCTTAAAGTTAAAGGTTTAACCCTTTAGGTCTCTGCTCATTATTATTTTTACTCCTAAAATATCACTACTATTTTGATCAATAAAAAAATATATCACAACTATGATAATGTGTATAACTAACTACGTTTTAGTTGAATTTATGAACTGTTACAATTGACTCTGTAAGTGGGAACAATTGCAACAAGTGCACGACTGTCAAAAATTGTTAATAACTATTATAATAACATTCAAAATAAGATATTTATTATTTTTTCTAGTAGAGAGTAGTCTACTTTACTCGTCTGTCATTTAATACTAATAATATATTGGATTTTTTGTTAGTTAAAAATAGTTAAGTAAAAAATGTTACAATTGACCCCACTCTCCCCTACTACCTTACGAATGTTCTGGTATGACAAGGACTAAAACTCATGAATCTCTTTACGGTAAGCATAGTCTCCACTACAGTTTTAACAAATTATAGCGACAATTTCTTTCGATTATTAGTTACGATACACTGTAAAAAATTACAAATCAAATTACGGTCAAAAGTACTCTGTGTCGGTACTTTTTAACATGAAATCCATTTTTACCGGAATATGTTATGGAACAAAAATCTGACATACCATAACTTTTAAAGTAATGATTTCCACAAAATCGCTGGATCACTAGATAAATCAATAAATATTTTTGTAAAAAATCGAGGCAAAATACTTCACGCTGAGAATGGATTTTACAGCAAAATCGATTTTAAGGATAATAAGATATCCGTACTTCAAACCGGAATTCTTTGCAACGTAGTTTAAATACGAAGTTCATCAGACAGTCTGTTTTTGTAATTTTTTATATATTATTTTATTACAATACAATATATCATTTTATTTATATATTTTCATGTATATAGATGACTTGGCGTCCTAAGAAAAAGATTTTCTACAAAAAAAATCAAAATTATGAAAAATTCTACTAACATTACTCAAGTACTAGTATGCAACTGAACAGAGTTTCTCAACTTAAAGGTTGAGACAGACGCTCAATTTCAGCTCTATTTTTGACAAATTGACAAGAACCATTTAGACTAAAGTGTGCTATAAATTTCCAAAGTGTGTTAAAATACAAGTTGAAATTTAAAGTTTTGAAGCAGCAATGGAACTCTAAAAACAAGTTATAAAAATACAATGATTACTATCTACTTACTACCTACTTATAACTACTTACTGTAAGATTTCTTGGTGCAATTTCCAGTTACGTGGTTGCAAGTTTCATCGTTTTCACAATAACAAATATTGGTACAATTTTCTCCCCAATATCCCTCTGAGCAAGTTTCATTGCATCTAAAATATATTATAGACATTAAAATTTTATGAAGACATTTTTAAAAAAAATAATCAATTAATTCTATTTTTTTTGAGAATATTCATTTAAAATTTTAAAAAACAACATTAAAAATAAAAATTTTATTTATGTCTATTTCGTTTGAGACCTAACCTAACCTTGTATTCATATTTTCATTACTGAATAATATTTTTAGCATTAATAAATCATTAATTTTGCTCTAAATTCCGATTTTAGTTAGTCTTCCAGATTACAAAATCATGCTGGTTAACAAAGTAAAACTTTCTTTTCTTTCTGAAGACTAAGGTTTATGCAAACACTCTCATAACCACCCACGCTAAGCTAGCCATTGAAAATTTCAATTAAAGAGTGTTTGAAACCGCAGAGATAATTTACTCCATATGTTATCTCATACATAACTATGTGCTGCTTGCCTTAAGAAATAATAAAAAAATTCACAATTTCAATTACAAAATATTTTTTTGGCGAATTTTAGAACAAAAGTGGAAACACATCCTTTACTCAAAATGGCCGATGAAAATACCTTTATATTGTTTTTAGTAAACAAAGAAAACTAGTAAATAGCTAACGATTATAGCAGTAACATTTTGCTTATATCCATTTATTTTAATATATTATTTCATGATATAAATACAGTACTCAGGTATTAGATAAAATTGCCTGCGCTATTCCCTCTGATAATCGCTTCTGATTAAATTAGCTTTATGTGTACTAAGCTTTAATTAGTAATCATCTTGGCGATTATATCAAGCACATTAACGCATTACATCAAAATAATGGATTTTGATGAAACTGCAGAACACATATTTCATCGCTTTACGCTACATTAGCATTATCGTAATGCTTTCATTAATAAATGCTTACATTGTATTAAATTATTTTGTAATAAGATAAATATTTACAAATTATTTTTGTAAATATGGAGACACTTTGTGAAATTACAAATTAAATTTATATCTATATTATTTTAAGGCTCAATATTCAATCATCAAAGTTGATAGTAACTTGTTTTAATTAAGAATTCATCTGCTGCTAAATTTCCCTAGAAACAATAATTTTAAAAACGTTAAATCTATGTCTGTAGTCAGTTATGTCATGTTTAATTATGTTTCTATTAAACTAAGGTTCATCTTCAAAGGAAACCCTTTAAGAAGATTAAATAAAGATTAGTACCTAGAAAATTCCCTTGCTGAATTTTTATCTTTCTTTTTACTCATTTCTGTTAAACAAATGTACAGTTGAACAAACAACAGTTTCTAAAAATAATTGTCCGTTAAGATTTAGCATCACGCTGTTAGAAATTTCTCGAAAAAAATGGTTAAATAGCAGTTTTTTAACAGTTTTTTTACCATAATAAGTACAGTAAAATAACCATAAAACAGATTATTTTCAAACTGCAGTGACAGAAAATAAAACGTTTATTGACTATTTTTTTTCTTCCTAATACAGATAACAACCCGAATTTTATCCCCTCCATCTTGACCCACCTTATAAAGTCATCAACTGGGCTCATATTACAGCTAAGAGGTCCATCTCTTGACTAAATATTTCTTCCATGAGCAGCAATGACTCAGGGAATAGAGTGTTGGCCTTCCAATGAGTTGCACCGGGTTCGAATCCATGCAATGGCTGGTTGATACGAATTCCGCATCCGGCTTCCAGCGACCACTGTGCTAACATGAAATATCACCAATGGTAGACGGATCATGGGTTGGAATCCCCTTGCCGTTTGGCTAACCGTGAGAGATTCACGAGGTCTTCCTCTCCATGTAACGCAAATGCGGGTTACTTCCATCAAAAAGTCCTCCACGAAGACTCCCAATACCTGTTCCAGAAGTTCGCTTGTCTTCTGGATTAGGCTCAAAATTACAAGGCTACGTAGTTGAATATTAGCAGTCGTGAATTCTGTGTAAAAAAAAAGGAAAGAAAAAAATTCCTGGAATTTGATACCTTAGATAATGCTGTGCCAGCTGTAATTACATTCTGAGTTACATCCTATATTTTCCATGTGAAATTGTTTCCTTTTATTAACTTTGCACCCCTACTGAAGATGCGACATCTATATCTCTTCTGATTGTTACTGTTTATTTTCCTTTTAATGTTTGTCTGTATTTAGTTCATTTCTAAGTAACACTGTTTTCTGGATTTCATATTTAATATCCTACCTATTTGTTAAAACTCTAATTTGAAAATTTTGAATATGCTTGCTTATGTGATTGAACTGTTGAGCGCACTTCGAACTTTCGGAGTGTCCCAGGATGCCCCCTGACGGGAGCGGGGCGGGGTTAAGCTAGTTATTATCAGTAGTCGTAAGCCCAAAAACTAGGTTGGCTGTTAAGTGACGGTTATTAAATACTTCTTCCATTCCTTCAGTACATGAGAAGTTGACAGGGTCCTACACTCTTCACTGTGTGACCCTGGATAATACGAAATTATCATTCACGCATAAATGGCACACCAGTATTTTAATGTTTAAGTTTTATTTTTCTCCAGTGTCCATTCCTAGTGTCCTGCTCTCTTCAATCAGTTACCCTGAATTATAAGAATACATAAGAATTATAAGAATTCATGCATAAATGGAGCAGCATGCACAGAGCTTCAATGTCCGTTTAAGTTTCATGATTCAGATGCAAGTTATGGTTACAAAACCGTACAGATTTTTATTTAATTTTTTTAACCGTACTACCCGTTGTAAACGGTTTCAAAACTGTATTAATAAAAAGTGTTCCTAACCATTAACTTTAGTGTTAATCGGATGAAAAGACTGCTGCTGGTTTTTTCCCCGTAATTTCAGAGAGAAAGTTCTAACAGTGCACATTAAAAATACTTTTCTATTGATGGTGCAAGTTTACAAAAATTAAATAAAGTCTCAAAATTATTAAAATGTTTGATTGAAATCTATTTGCATTTCTATCTTCTTTGAGGCAGATCATAAGAAATTTATAAAATGAACTCTTCCATTGGAAAAAGTATAATATGCATTCATCAATCTTCGTACAAAAATGTCAGTTTTATCGGCTCTTGAGTATGAAAAAAAATGAAATTGAAATTTTAGATAACTTCTTAAGTAGAATCCTTCTAGTTTAAGATACCTCTTCTTTGCAAATGATTTATGTCACTTCTGTTTGCAAATAGAATATGTTGACAGATAAAATATTCCTGATTTATGATATCTGTCATATCTTAAAGAATTATTCCTTCTCTAAAGAAAGTAAGCGCATAAATTTGGTAATTTTTCTTTCAAAAGAAACTTCGAGTATTTTTTTTTCCTTGAATAGTTATTTTGCAAGTACAATTTGTTAATGCATTCTATTTTCAGTAAACAAGGAGCAGAGTATTAAAAAGGGCAGAATGCTTTTTTTATAGTTTTAAAATATTGAGAAATTGTCCATTTTTTTTTTCATAATTTTTCTTAAAAAGAAATGGAAGATTTTAGATACATTATTTAAAATTTATATTTCAAACAATATTTTACTTATTGTTATTATTAAGGCATAAATTATTAAGCATGATGTTACTTTTTTATTGGATAAAACTTTAACCTACTCCCCTTAATTAGATAGCTGTACAAACTCATTTTAATGTTTCTAACTCCGTAAACAAACTTTTACCCGTGAATGACGTTATTCATAGGAATAACGTTCAATAGAGTTATTTGATACAACTCATTATTCCTTATACAATTTTTATGCATTGTATGACTTGATATGACTCTTGATACAACTGTTTATTACTCTGATTACTCTTTAAACCTGACGCACTTTTTTTAAACTAAAATTACACATTCTTCGTTATTTTTAAATTCTAAAACTTTTTATTTTTGATTACTTATCATATACTGCAAATACTTAAAACACTTATTATTTTATTTATGTTTGAAATTAAAAGAATGAGCATTTTTTGTTTAAAACGCCAGCATCTGATATCATTGTGACATGATGTGATAGCAAGATTAATTTGGAAAGTTAAATGAAATAGGTAATATAGTACATTTTATTTAAGATATTTCATTAGTTTTCAAAAAAATGGCTCTGACAAATAATGAGAATTTTAAATATTTTCATTAATGTTAAGGTAAATGTATGTTTAAAAAATTAGGATCAAAAATGCACATTTTAATTTATTTTTTAAATTTTCAAAGGCGTTACGTCTAAGTACTTTCTGTAAGTGAGTTTAAAATTAGGTTTTTTAACAATGAATAAAAACTTTTAAATTTTTAATAAACTGTTATTTGTCTTTAAGTTAATAAAACGTCTTTCCAAATATTCGGACTTTTTTTCAAAAGTAATTTATGATGCCATCAAAAACCCTAAAAAATTTAATTCATATAAATTGAAAACAAAATAAGAAAATATAGAATTTTTCAAAAATTAAAATGCAGAAATAAGATTTTAGCAGCAATTTATTGATTTTTAAGTAAATGAGAACAGATATTGCTTTTATGTTTGTTAATAGAAATTTCGTCTTGACTAATAAATCAATTATTAAAAAACAAAATCTATTCCATTATTTTATTTTATTTTAGAGTCATCGTTGAACAGCTGACTCAATTTTGAACTTACTGCTACTAATGTTATACACCGTAGCCTTGCAATTTTGAAACTAATTCAGAAGACAAAGGATCTCCAAGATGAAGTGATGGGAGGAATGTTGCCTTCGTAGAGGACTTTTTGATGGAACTAACCCGCACTTGCGTAACTTAAAGAAAGCTACGAAAACCTCCCACGCACACGGCAAAGGGACTTTAACCCATGATTTGTCTACCATTGAGGATATTTTAAGTCAGCATTGTGGTCGGTGCGAGCCGGTTGCGGAATTCGTATCGACCAGACATCACTGGAATTCGAACCCGGTTCACTTCAATGGGAGGCAAACGCTCCATTCCTTGAGCCTCAGTGACTCCATATGTCCCATTAGTAAGACGGAATACAATATTGGAGGTCAAATATTGATATCAAAGTCATTTGAAATTAGTATTTGAATTAGATACATATTAAAGCCATCCGTTTCATTTATGCAACAGAATTTTATAATATTTTATTCTAATTATATTCCGCTAGATATAATTAAATATTCAATTCGCATCATGATTTTAAAGAAACTTTTTTTAAATACATACCTTTCCCCAACAAATCCTGCAGTACATTTGCAGGAACCATCGAAAGAATTGCATGCAGCTCCATTTTTACATTCGCATTGACGACTGCAAAAGTACCCATAAGTTCCATTTTTACAAGGGATTTCGCAATCGTAACCTCGCCAACCTAAACGGAAACATCCGTTAAGCCACTTCTTAATTTTAAACAATAAGTGCTAACTATTGTCACACATTTAAAGGAGCGAAATATGTTTCCTTGTCAGTTTTCTGATTTGTTGCTTGTAGCCTGGGTGATTCTTTACATAAAATTCAATGAAATTCCATAATAAAGTTGCATAAAATTCAATGAAAAAAAGTTTCTATTAAAAAACCTAATAACTCTGCAAATTCCTTACAGAAAATTTGGGACTCTCGCTTCAGGCCGAAAGACAAAACGACAGAAAAAAACAAAAATTCCACAACTTAGAAAAAGGTCATGCATAGGGATCGATCTCATTGCAAGTATAGGCAACCGCAGGACTCGTATGTGAACAAACTTTGAGAGATGAAGTAAAGTGTTACCTATTATTCGTCCTGGTGAGACATTGGGTTTACTTCCAATTCAAAGCTAGATGCGAGAAAAAGAATAGAATACCGTCAATTTAATACTTATAAATCAATTTTATGAATCGTGGGCTAAGAATAGAGATCACTAATTTACTTATGATTTATGTAAATAATTGTGAGGGTTCCCATAGTGTAAGTAAGATGAGCATATTAGAGATTTTTTAAAAACACTTCTATACCCTTATTTGCTTGGCAGAGAAGTTAAATTTCTTTAGATTTCTATCTTTGGATCCTCTGAAAATTGTGAACCATATCAATATTTTTTCAAACTTTTTATTTAATATGTTTTATTCATCCTTTTTTTTAGTTCTGATTGCTAAATTAAAGTTCGTTTCAAATAAGTTTCATTTTCATGCATATGTATTTTTTCAGTTTGGGATTGGAGGTAAATTGTCTCACAGCATTGGTGGCAAGGAACATAAGTTAAAAAACGTGGGTACCCTAAAAGTCTGCAGTAGAGTTATTTTCATTTAATGATATGATGACGAAAATAATCATCATTTTATGATTATAAATGCTTCCTTAAAAAAGTGAAGAGACTTGGCATAAGTTTGAAACTTATGCCAACTTATATGTTGACGTACCAGACTGACAATCACAGTATCCTGTAGATGAAAGGCAAGTGGCGTTATTCTGGCAAGTACACAATTGCGAGCAATTTTCTCCCCAATATCCACTCGGACAGGGAAATTCACATCTATAAAAGAATCCTTATAAGTTACTTACTCGTGCATTGCATTTTTGTAGTATATTATTTCATTATGTTAATCGCATGATGTTAATTTATTTACCTAAAACCGTAAAATCCTTCAGAACAATAGCAGCTACCATTCCGTGGATTCCATGTACCTCGATTTTCACAAACACATGTTTCTTCGCAGTTTTTTCCATATTTTCCAGACTTACAGGGGATTTGGCAGTGCATACCTCTCCAACCTTCAACATATAAAGCATTTATACACGCGTTTTAAGTTTGTTCGATAATTTTTTTATAAAAGAAATACCAAATTTTAATGTTTGTGCCAAATTTAGTAAAGATATTTTAAAATTGTAGATCTGAGTGGATAAAGATTCTACTCGATAATTTAGACAGTTTGAATGATGTAAATAAGATGTTCATAAGGTTTAAAGTACATGAAATAACAATAGAAAGTAAAGGTTAAGCTACATTTTTCCTTGTCCGCAAGTTTTCCATTGCAAATAATAAATCATATACACTCATTTAAACAGATAGCCTCACAGCCCTCTTTGCCCAAAATTTTCTGCCTAAAGGACGGCTTTTACTCATTGACTGCTTTTTGAAAAAAAGCGTTGGAAATCATCAATTTCAAACACACTCAAAAGTCTGCACTTAGTGTCTTTCACTAATTGGGATCTCCAAAAATTCAAGTCCTACAGAAGACTGATTGTAAGATCATTGTAAGACCACTGTTTCATTGTAAGACATGGTTCCATGATTGTAAGACACGGTCGTGTGACGTAAATAAACAGCAACAAAAGCAATCAAAATTCATAGACTTGAATAATATTTTTCACAGTAACCAATGTTTTGAAAAATTTCTTCCTTCATGTTCTACAAAAATGCTATGAGCACATTAAAAAAAATTTTAAAAAATAATTCCAATCTGCATTTAAATAAATTGATTACATTTGATGAATTTCAGGTTAATTTTCTTCTAAAATTCAGTACAAAATGTATTAATGCACAGTTAGGGAAAAATTAATGAATTACTTTTATAACTTTTGAACGGTTGATCGGATATATAATTGCAACAGTATGCTTAATTATATCAAAGCTTTCTGATGTTTTTCTGAAAGAAATACCGTGTTTTTAAACGGAATTCAGGTTTCTAACCCCCGAAATAGGCAATAATATTATACCTGGAGTTGGTAAAGTTTTGAAAGTAAAAATGCATGACGAAATAAGCATACGCCGCCATGGTTACGGTTAATGGTTATACCAGATATTTCATAATTAGATATTGCCAAAACACTTCACAGAAAGAAAACCCGACCAATCGTTCAAAACTTAATCTATTTTTTTCTGACAGTACTCTAAACATTACTTTTAATTAGCTTTCCTAAACAAATATCATATTATTAATGGCATAATTTCTTGACTTGATTCAAGACATTAAAATTTCAGACTAATAAACAATATTAAAACTTTTATAAAAATTGCTTTCTAAATTTTTTTTTACTAAAATAAGATTTTTTGATAAAATATTTCTTAAATAAAAATATTTTAAAATTTTCACAAAAACTTTTGAATTTAATTTTTTAAAATATTAGAATCTACAATCAAGGATAAAATAAAAATTTATTTACCATCTGTGCAATTGCAAGAACCATCAATTTGGTTACATTGTGCGCCATTTTTGCAGGAACACTTATTGGAGCAGTTTTGTCCCCAATAAGAACTTGGACAAGTCTCGTTGCATCTGCACAAAAATAATAAAGCAAATGAGAACAATAGCGGTATTATTCATTCGTTAAGACAAAAAATAAAATTTTTGTTTAAACACTTTTTAATAGATTTCGAAAACATAATATTTTTCACCTTTAAAATTAGTTAACTTTTGTTTTCTCATTTCAAATTCCTAATATTTGAAAAAAGTCTAAGTAAGGCTTAAAATGTATTCAATATTCAAGTTTTAAATATTCAAAATTTCTGTTTGTAATTTAAACTAGAGAGGCATGCGCCTACAATATACAGCACAACGATCTACATTGAGTTACTTAGGCAAAAATAAAATTTACTTTTCCTTATTCAGTATAAAAATAGCTATATAGAAAATAGAAGCCATTTACTTAATCAGAATTGGTGTAAAATACTTAAAGAATAGCTCTTCTATACATAATAATAAAAGCGGCTGTGTGTGTGTGGGTCTGTAATCACAGTATATAGCCACAGAAGCCTCGCCCAGGCACGAAACTCGGCATATAATTATGTTTTGACATAATGAAGAAGTATTTTTTTTTCTTTTTCAAAACTTTGGATTAGTTTCTTAGTTATCAGTCATTTTGTAAGAAAATCTATGCTTTTTCGTCTTCAAAGAGCCATATTCAAGAAACTATTAAAAAATGCATATACTTTTCTCCACTCTTATAAATGTATGCTAATACGAACCTTACAATTGAAATATTAATTTTCGACAACTTAAACCAATAATATACGAAGGAATTAATAATTTAATTGTAAGGTTCGCATTAGTTTACATTTATAAGAGTGGAGAAAAGTTTAACTTTTGTATTAAAAATGTGGCAACATATTCGATACGTAAATAGAACGCTTCGCTTTGATATATTTGTCGCCGTTCATCTGGATATGAAGACAAAATTGCAGAACAGGAACACTTTAATTGTCCACTAATCTTCAGATTTCCTGCTATGTTTTAAAAAACTTTATTTGTGAAAACCTTTAGCTTGGCGGACAGCTGGCAGCCTTAGGCGGCTAGTATATAATAAATATAAGATATTGTGTTGAAAATTTCGTGCTTAGAACGATTGAAGACATTTATTACTACTTTTAGATTCTGACAAAATAGACAGAAAAATCGCAAATGGAATAATAATAGAATTGCACATAGCTACTTGATTCTTTATCAGCTATGTTAATACGCACATTGCTTTAAATGATCAACCATCTCTTTAATGTGAAAAGAATGTCTGAAAGATTCGTAAAATTTATCAACAGAAGATGAATAAAAATGTGCAGTAATCAAGTCCGCACAAATTAAAAAAGTATAAAATCTAACAGAGTATAAAGTTTGATTTCCAGTAAAAAATTGAGTTATCAAATACTATAAATTTGCTATAAAAAGAAAATTATATTTTTAATCAGGTGTTTTAACTAGCAAAACTTTTAATTTGTGAAGTTTCTAGAAAATTACACATTTCTGTAACACGCATGTTTAATATTTACTATAAGTATACTGTTAGAAATTTTGCAAAGCATTAATCCACAATATTATTTTAATTTTCCGCAACCTTAACGATAACCATAATCGAACCATATTATTTAATTTTCTTGAAGCTAATTAAACATTAATATAGTTCAGTTCAAATGCTAACGTAGTTTGGTTTTAAAGTTGAGGTAATATGGTTATATTTGCCATCACAAATTGAACCATGTTATTGAGAGTTTTGAATCTGATTAAATGATACTATAGTTTAAGTAAGAAAATATGTATGGTTCAATTTAGCACCTTATTAAGATTGCGGCAATCTTCAGGGCTGAATTGAACCCTATTATTGAACTGTTTTAACCTGATTAAACAATACTGTAGTTCTATTCGAACATATACATGGTTTAATACAGCACCTTATTAATGTTTTAGAAAATTATGACTTATTGTATCATTAGTATGGTACATACGTTTCTCCTATGTTTCCCGGTAGACAAATACAGCCAAATGATTTATCACAAACAGCTCCATTCATGCAACTACACTTTCGACTGCAAAAATACCCATAAGTTCCATTATCGCATGGTATTTCACACTCAATTCCTTTCCAACCTAAGATATTTTTTTTTTAAAAATTTGATAACATATAAATTATTGAGATTAATGATTATATCATCAATTTTATTCGTGGATTGTTGTTCTTAATTATACAGTTACTTCATTTTCTTATTTATTTCACAAATTTTATAATTTAGACATGACGGAAATAGTTATTGATTTTCCAATAATGGGCAGTTACATAATATGTTCTACCGTTTACTTTCTCTGTCGAAAGGTTCCATATGCGAATTTTTCAATCGTCATATCCATACTACCAAAATTGATATACCATATCCGGGACAGCATGGTTAGTAGGATGGTGGACGCGTGTATATGAGAACGGAAGTTCGAATCCCACCAGGCGAAGAAATCCCGTGTATTAAATGGTGACTGGTATACGTTAAATCTGTCGGAGTCACAAAGTCCCCCAAGTTCCAATCAAAATTCAATACCTATGAGTGTACTAAATTGGATATTGATCATTATCTGGTTCAAGACAAAATTTCAATCTGTGGATGAATGAATTTGTCGGCCCTGTGAAAACGGGCTGTGACGTGTGTGAGTGGATGAAAGTATATTCTTGGCCATAAATGGCGGCATTGAAAAATAAGAAGGCACCTTCTGTGTTAAATTCGCTTTGTTTCCAAAGCAGGATTGCTGACATTAACCAGTGGCAATGGAAACAACAACAACAGACCAGAAATGCATGGCAAAAATAAATTTCTAATGAAATTTCCAAAAAATGAGTTTTAATTATTGTTGATTTAAAACCTATTTTATAAGTTTGAGAAAATCAGAAACTTGAAATAGCAAATGCAGTAAAATCAATTTACTTTCTTTTTGAAAATTAAAAAACAATAATACACTTACGCAAACAAGAATTGTAGGGAAAGTATTTCAATGGAGGTCACAAAACGTGGGGAGATTTATACTTGGGATGGAAGTCTATTACAAAAGTAATGATCCCTGACTTTCTTTTTTGGTCTTACAAAAACAGAAACTATTTTTTCGTTTTTAATTCTCTTTAAAATTGTAGTTTTTAATGTTTTTATTGTACATTATTATATTTTTTTTTGTCAGTTAGTTTATGGAAAAACGTCAAAATTTTAGATGGTGGCAAAACTTGTATAAACATCATAAAAAATTCCGGATCAAATTACGGCAAGTACTGGTACTCAGGGTGCCGTCACTTTTCCCCGTAAAAATCCATTTTTACCGGAACATGTTACGGAACAAAAAATCTGAAATACCCAGTTTTTTTTTGTAATAATTACTGTAAAATCACTGAATTACTCTAATTAAATAAATACTGCGAAAATTATGGTATAATATGTTACCGTAAAAATGGGTTTTACTGTAAGATGAATTTTACGGATGATACACCTGAAACGCAGAGACTTTATTTTTATCCGGAATTTTTTACAATGTGCTTCAGTCAAAATTACAGCTTGTCAAGTATATTGGTATTTCCCCAAGAACAGAGCTACAATGTACAATGTTGGCGACAATGTAACCACGGATTTTGTCTTAGAATTCAGAATTCAGAAAACTGTTGAAAATTGTATTATCATCAAACACAGATTTCACTTGAAATTTGATCGTTTCAACCAGAAAAAAAGTCTAAATTTCTAATGACGATAATTTCTATTTTCCCCCCGATTATTTTGAGTGATGATGAATTACACGGTAATATAATAAATATACCGTATTCTACCGTAATTTTTAAAGTAATATTTATTTCATTAGAATGATTCAATGATTTTACAGTAATTATGGCTGTAAAAATTACGGTGTATTAAATTTTTTTCTTCCATAACATGTTCCGTTAAAAATAAGTTTTATGGTACAAAGTACTGGCAAACTGAGTGCTGGTACATTTTACCGTATTTTGATCCAGAATATCTTACAGTGTAGTCTGAAAGTCACTGGGACTTTAATGATAAATATTCCTCATCTTTAACAGCACTACAACCTAATGCAAGCCAAGGTTTCTCAGGCTGCCTCTTCCAGAGGGTTCAACTTGTTGCTAGATCTCTCCATCTATTCACTCCCAATACTTTTAGGTCCTTCTCCACACAGTCCAACCACCTTGCTTCCGGTCTCCCTCTCTTCCTTGTACTCTCAATCTTTAAAAATGTTAGATTTTTGCTGGATCAGAATCTTCATCTATTAGCAGTCGATGAAATGACGATAAATTGCTGTTTTAAAAGATCAATAGCTGACTAAAACTTGAGATGCATTCAGCACCAATCGTCAGGTGGTATTGTAAGGAACTAGCCAGTTTGAAAGTGGCCAAATAATATCGTGATATCCTTTTTGGCTATACTACCCTGATAAATTAGGCTTTAAATAGGCAGAAAACAATTTAATCACGCATTTTCATTCATCACAGAACAATATTTTAATTTTGAATGTTCCAGCTATATTTAAAAAAGTAGCTGATACACTAAATTAATAACACTTAATTAACACTCTTATTTAATTTGGGGACAAATTTAGCCGTAGATTGATGATAAATTAAATTTTCAGCTTGTATTGGTCAGTAAAAATTTATAACTAGAATTATCTGACAAAGAACTTCATATAAAACTTGAGTTTTCTAGCTAGACGAAAGTTGGTCGAAGTTTAATTACAAGATATGACATGAGTTACAGACATGAAAGTGATTTAATAAAAACGAATTACAATAAATTGCGTGAATACTTTCATAACAATCAGCTTAAATTTCAATCATATTTCAAAAATCGCATTAATTTTAAAACCTTTATCCCATTCAAATTAATTTTGAATTATATTTTCCTTATTTAAGGAAAACTCAACTAAATTCGCTTACCTGGACTACAGTCACAGTAGCCAGTTGTTGGCAAACATTTTGCAGCATTCAAGCAACTACAATTATTTGAACAATTAATTCCCCATTTGTGCTCTGGGCATTTTTTTCCACACCTGAAATCATCCAAAAATTTTCACAAATATTAATTGTAATTATCATTTAAGAATCCGATCTTATTTTTTCATTTAAGAACAAAAATACTTCGATCCATGATATCCTTCTGAGCATAAGCATTCTCCATTCTCAGCATCGCAAGTTGCCGAGTTTGCACAATCACATATAAGGGAACAGTTCATGCCGTAATATCCTTTACTACAGGAAATATCGCAGCGGTCTCCTTTCCAACCTTAAAAATACAATATTTTAATTTTTAAAAAAAAACAGTTTTTTAAATTAAAAAAAATAACATTTTAAATACGTACATTTAAAATTAACATACTGCATGGTAATGATATTTCAGATTAAAAAATAATGTCGCAATGCATAAAATGAATATCGCAGTGCTCTCCTTCCCAACCTTAAAAATACAATATTTTAATTAGAAAAAAAAACAGTTTTTTAAATTAAAAAAATAACATTTTAAATATGTAGGGGAGAGTTGGATAAAACGGGATAGTCGGACAAAACGGGATACGTCGCCTAGGGACCAGACTATTGCAGCTATCTAGTGGACAACGACAGAAACGTGTTATTCGACCGTGATTATATCATTCTCGGTGCGTCCCGCCTCGAGATCACTATTTGATAGAAAGTTGTAGGTCTCAGAACTTTTTTACTCTATTTTTTTGCCATTTTCTACATTTACGTGCGTTGTTTTTTACATTGTACTGCCTACATATATGGGAATAAAATTCCGGTGAGTATTAAATTTAATTAACCATTTATTTACCAATATTTTTATGTGCAGTCTATCTAATTTTCTTTTCACATTTA